CTGAATTTGTTAATTAGTTCTAATTTTTTTATTTAAATGAATGAGGTGTTCAGGGATTTCTCCATATAGAATGTTATCACCTGCAAATAGAGATAATTTTATTTTTTCTTTTCCAATGTGGATGCCTATTCTTTCTTTCTTTCTTTCTTTCTTTCTTTCTTTCTTTCTTTCTTTCTTTCTTTCTTTCTTTCTTTCTTTCTTTCTTTCTTTCTTTCTTTCTTTCTTTCTTTCTTTCTTTTCTTTCTGTCTTATTGCTCTTGCTGGTGCTTCCATTACTATTTTGGAAAGAAATGTCAAGTGTGGGCATCCTTACCTTGTATACATAATAGAGGAAAGAATTTCATTTCTCCCCAATAATTATGACATTAGTTGCGGGCTTTTCAAAAGTGGTCTTTATTGTATTGACTTAAGTTGCTTTTGTGTCTATTTTGTTTAGGTGTTCTAATTGTGAAAGGATATGGAACATTGTTAAACATTTTCTGTGCTAGTATTGTGTTGATTGGCTTTATCTTTCATTCTGTTAATATGGTGTATCACCTTGATTGCTTTGTGTACATCAAACCCTCTTTGTATACAATGGATGAATCCTACTTGGTCAGTGTGTATAATGTTTTTCATATGTTGTTGAATTTGATTGCTAGTATTTGGTTGAGGATTTTTTTCATGTCTGTACATTAGGGCCATTGGCCTGTAGTTTTCCTTTGTTGTTCTTCTATGGCTTTGGCATCATAGGTATGCTGATGCTGGCCTTATAAAATGAGTTTTGAAATATGCTGTCTACTTTTATTTTTTCAAGAGCTTAAGAAGGACTGGTATGAATTGTTCTATGAGTGTTTGATGGAATTCACCATCTGATCCAGATGAAGCCCATCTAGTCCTGGGTTTTTCTTTATTGGGAGGATTTTGATTACTGCCTCAATCTCCGTATTTGTTATTGGTCTGTTCAGGGTATGTATTTCTTTTTGGTTCAGTCCTGGTAGGTTTTATTATTCTAGAAACTTGCTGATTTCCTGTCAACTATCTAATTTGTTTGCATAAAGTTGTTCATAATAGACTAATGATCTTTTAAAAAATTTTCTGAGGCATCCATTATAATGTGTCCTCTTTCACTTCTGTTTTTATTTGAGTATTATCTCTATTTTTAGTGTGGCTAAGGTTTCTTGATTTTATCTTTCAAAAGAAAAACTCAGTTCTGTTAATTTTTTTTCTATTTCTATTCCCTATTTGATTTATTTTGCTATGGTATTTATTATCTCCTCCTTTCTCCTACTGTGATCTAGTTTGTTCTTATCATTCTAGTTACTTGAGGTATAAAGTTACATTGCTTATTGACTTCTTTCTTCTTTTTTACTGTAGGCATTTGTCAGTATTAACTTGTCTTTATACTGCTGTTGCTGCATCCCATAAGTTTTGGTGCGTTGTGTTTTCATTTTCATTTGCTCTGAGATATTTTTTAAGTTCTTTTCGATTTTATCTTTGACAGAGTAGTTAGTATTCCAGAGTTTTCTATGCAGTCCATGCTTATGTGAATTTTTTTCCATTTTCTTGCTGTATTGATTTTTAGTTGCATTGCATTGTGCTCAGGAAAGGTAACTGATATTGGAGAGGGTAAGAGGAACAATTTAACTTTACCCACATCACCCCTTCCCCAAAAGCAGCACATCTCAATGCCAAGAGAGATCTCAGCCCATGTTTTCTCCCAGGGGTGGGAGTGTGGAGGCTGGGAGGTGACAAAATGAAGAGATGTTGTTGAACGGCTTAATTCCAGTTATGTAGGATGAATAAGATTCAGAGATTTAACATACAACATGATGACCATAGTTAATAATACTGTAATGAATACTGATAACTTGCTAAAGGAGTAGATTTCACACGTTTGCACCAGAATAGGTTAATTAGCTTGACTGTGGTAAGAATTTTACTATATATGTATATAAAATGTCATATACATATAAATGCAGTATATAATATCATTTTATGACTTACACTGTACAGTTTTTATAAAAATAAAATAAACAGAATAATGGTTCTTCAAATTTGTAGTGAGGGAATCATATTTCATTTGAAAATATGTCTATTTTTAAATGCTAGGGTGGGTAAGTAGTAATGGTATAAAGAATTACTGTATCCCTAGATAATAGGCATAATTTTTGGTTTTCAATACTTATGGAAAAATTATCATCCTTATTATGAATTATGTCATTATATATTTAGTAAGGTAGTAAAATGAATAATAGTGAAACAATTGGTGAAAACTTACAGAAATTGTTACATTTTAGTAACAATTTGGCAGTGTAGAATATGAGCTTTAGAACTATTAATTGGTATACATGGAAATATTTGTTTTTAAGAATGTAGCTTAGGAGAATAAATCATGAAAAAGCAATGTTTGCTGAAATGATATTTTTTAATATTCAAAATTTTGAATTAATCTTCAAACAGTACAGCAGGGGCAATCTTTGATAAAACATGGTGTCTGAATATACTGGCACACCTCAAAAGGTATAGTAATGACAAATGTGGAAACTGTGTTGTTTTGTGGATATCCACATACAAAGTATAAGCATGAAAAAGTCACACTTAATTTAAGTTAAAGCTAGACCTAAAAATATTGACAAATATTTATTTAAGCAGTGAGAAATACATGTTTGCCAATGAAACAGAGGGAACTGGGATGGCGCAAACCCCTGTGTATTTTAAGTACTAAGATTTTACTTTAAATTTAAGTGCCTAGTAAACATGGTTTCAAAGGTAGACTAAAATGTTTCCTGCATGCAACTCCTAGTAAGTAGGCAATACTATATGAAATACCACAATGTTCTCCAAAAGAGTGACTTAAGCACAGGATCCCTTCTAGTTTCAATTGTAGGTCATAGGTGATTCCTTATAAGTCATTCTTGAGAGTGAATTCACATTACCTGCTGCTGTTCAGCTTTCATTTTAACAAGGAAAACCATCACCATAGCCAAAAGTTATTGAAAATATTCTGTATACTAGGAAATAACTCTTAAATACTTACATGCATATATAATTTACCACAAACATTGCTTTACATGTATTATCATATTCAATCCTGACAACACAATGAGGTATGTTATATTTACTTTGAAAGGTTAAGTTATTGTCAGGGTTGCACAGCCTACAAGTGGCAAAGCCAAGATTTGAACTTGCTTCTGTCTAACTAAAGCCATTGCTGTCCACCAACTTTGCTATACAGGTGGTCCCTGACTTGGAATGGTTGGACTTAGGCTTTTTTGAATTTATGATGTTATAAAAATGATACGCATTCAGTAGAAAGTGTTTTGTGAATTTTGAATTTTAATCTTTTCCTGGGCTTGTGAAATGCAATACGATGCTCTCTTGTGATGCTGGGCAGCAGCGAGCTGCAGGTCCCCATCAGCACACGAGCATGAGGGTAACAATTGATACAACCATTCTGTACCCATACAACTGTTCTGTTTTTCACTGTCAGTACAGTATTCAGTAGATTACATGAGCTATTCAACACTTTATTATAGAATGGACTTTGTGTTAGATGATTTTGCCCAAATGTAGGTTAATGCAAGTGTTCTGAGCACACTGAAAGTAGGCAAGGCTAAGCTTTGTTTGGTAGGTTAAGTATATCAAGTGCATTCTTAATGTAGAATATTTTCAACTTAATGATGGGTTTATCAAGACAAAAAATAACTATTGTAAGTTGAGGAAGACCTGTACTATATTTTATTGTCAGAAGATAGTGTGTGAGCTCACTATCAACAATACACTTTCACTGGAGAAGGTATTATCTACAGCAATCACAACCTATGTCACTGCAGCATACAACCTGATACTTACAGAGAAATGAAGAAGAATGAAAAATAGTCCAGTAGTATTAATTTTACTATGGAATCTAATTGGTTATTTTCTACTGTATTGTAACTTTATTTGCTCTAGCTTTTACTGATTTACCTTTCCCACAACTTTTAATGACTTAGCTTTTAGTAACCACCAATAATAATCAATGAATTATAAAAATATTGGCCTGTTGATTTTGAGAGAAATACAGAGGAGTGTGAGCTGACTATGGAGCACATATGTTATGAACTGGTGATGGTGGGCCTAATAATAAATAGGATAAATATTTTGAACATTATTCTGAAAGTAGTAGAAAGTCACTGGAGGTTTTAATAGGGTAGTGGTCATGATGATTTCATCATATCCTGTGAAGACTGATCTGATTGTGGTGTGCAGAGTGGATGGAATAGGGAGAGGCCCGGAAATGAAGAATATTAGGAGGGGGTTTCAGTCATTCAGGAAGGAGATTATGGAGTGTCCAGGAAGTCATTGTTACTGGCCTCCAAGTTTATGATTGCAGCCATGCCAGTGGGGTTCAGCACATACTGATGGGGCAGGCATTATGCCAAGTGGTAAGCATTGGGATTGCAAAGATGAAATGGACTTGGAAAAAGTTTCCCCAAAGATGAAAATGAACTTGGGAAATTTGAGATATTAGGGGGTATGGCGGTCTTGTGTTCCTTGTAAAACATTGCTGTAGGACTACCTGAAGACTCCACCCCATTCAACTTTTCCTTGTCCCAGTTTCCATTCTTTAAGCATGGGACATCACAGACATAGGGAGTCCCAGGGTTGAGAACACTACTGGTAGGGATCCAAGTCCCCAAGGTCAAGGTGATGGTGGAGGAAAGTTGTCTTTTCCTGGAGTTTGTTCTTGGCCACATACAACAGTACAACCAGATATTCCCTTATGTTGGTCATAAGCTGTCCCATGCTGTTGCAAAAGTATTCAAGCCCATCCTTTATGATATACATCTGGCTATGCTTTTGGAGCATGATTGTAAGATGTTAAGCTAATGATATTGACCTGATGTTGTGTTTGTTATGTATGATGCAGTCCTGTAGCTTTGATATGACTATTTCAAGTTCGGATCACAGGTCCTGGAAGTAAAATCCACACTTTTGGTCCCACTCTCGTCTTCACTGCTTAATTGTAGTGAGTGCAATTAGTTGGAGACCCCCATATTGGATGTGCAGCCACTACCACTAAGAGGCATGGATTTTCCTAACCCAAATTAGTTTTTTCAAGGAAGACTTGATGTCTCTGTTCCTCAAACTGTAGATAAAGGGATTCAACATCGGGGTGACCACTGTGTACATCACTGATGCAACTGTGCCCTTCTGTGCTGAGCGTTTTGAGGAGGGTCTGAAGTAAACAAAGAAGGAAGTCCCAAAGAATAGAGAGACCATAGAGAGATGAGAGCTGCAGGTGGAAAAGGCTTTCTGCTTCCCCTGAGCTGAGGGGATTTTCAGGATTGCCGAGAAAATGTATGCATAAGAGATAATCAGGCAAAGCACACAAACCAGGCCCGCGAGACCCCCTATGGTAAAGATCACCAGCTCATTGATAAAGGGGTCGGTGCAGGACAGATTCAGAAGGGGGTTGATGTCACAGAAGAAGTGTGGGATCTCATGGTCTGCACAGAAGGACAGGCTGTTCATCAAGAGTGTGTGAAGGAGGGAGTGGAGTGCGTTCAAAATCCAGCATGCAGACACGAGGAGTACACAGAGCCCAGGGCTCATGATCATGATGTAATGGAGTGGGTGGCATACGGCCACATAGCGGTCATAGGCCATGACAGCCAAGAGGAATGCCTCCAGCATCACAAACAGCATGAAAAAATACAATTGTGATAGACATCCTGCATATGAGATGACGTGATTCTGCATCCATATGTTTGCTAGCATCTTAGGAACCGTGGTGGACACAAAGCAGGTGTCAGTGAGGGAGAGGTTGGCCAGGAAGAAGTACATGGGGGTGTGGAGGTGAGCATCAACGATGATGGCCAGAATGATGAGGAGGTTGCCTGCCAGCGTAACCAGATACATGGACAGGAACAGCCCAAAGAGGACCTCCTGCTGCTCTGGCTGCTTGGAGAGCCCCAAAAGGACAAAATCTGAGGTGCTGGTCAGGTTTTTCCATCCCATTTTTCTGTAAGCAGAATGTTGGGTAAATTGAATGAAGTTGGTAAGGCCTGGATTGTGAACTATTAAAATTATGCACTGTTGCAATGCTTGGTGCCATGGGAAAGCAAAGATTTGTTTGCAGTGGAAGAGGTTTTTTTTTACTTTATTTTATAAGCATTGATGCAGTATATATTTTGGGGGGCTAGGCTGGAGGCATTGTTGATGCACCTCTTATGGCATTCATGTGGACAATATGACATGAATCCATTCTGAGATTTCACAGTCTAAAGGTCTTTAGTATATGTTCCCAAAATTTCAAAAAGCATGGCTAGTGGAAAAGGGGCTTGGGGGTTGGTAAAAGCATGTTTAATACTGACAGCACCATCTCCACTCTCTGCACAGTTGGTCTCTCCAGAAATCTGGGTGTTATTATTGACCTATTATTCTTCCAAATACCACTATTTTTCTTCTATATTTAGAATCCTACCTACCACCAAATCCTAGCAATTTTACTTTTTCTGTATAACTAAAATTATACACTTCTCTCTGTTACCAAGTCCCAGCTGCCACTACATTGTTCAGGGCACTGTCGTTTATGGTTTAGATTGGAGCCATGTTCCCCCTGCTTCCAGGCACACCTGGTGTCTCTGCAGTCCAGACGGCATGGGTTTTCTATAAATCATATTTGATTTTGTTGCTTCCGTGAAAAATCCTTCAGGGTTTCCTCATGATTCTCGGGATAAACTCAGAGCTTCTGAACATGGCCTGAAGACCTTTGCTCACACTGGCATTTATCATAGATGTCTCCCATGCCTCCCAGAACCTCCTCCTCTGCTCTACACCCTGTGTGCCAATTATGCTCTCAAATATCCAGATGTTTTTCTCTCCTCTGGGCTCTTGTCCATCTCATTTTCTTGGGCTGGGGTAGTTTTCCCTCAGATCTCAGCTTTGATGTCACTTTTTCTGGGAAGCCTTCCCTGACTATCTTCTCTCAACAAACTCAGGTCCACACCCGACCTGTCCCTGTGCCTCACCAGTCACAGCATGTGTCACTCTGGATTGTGACCATCTATCCACCTGTATTGTCCTCATTTTCCTAGGAGCACCATTAAAATAGGCAGAGGTGTCTGTGTTGTTCATCTCTGATATCTAGCATTAGCCTGGTACAACATAAGTGCTCAGCAAGTTATCTTTCAGGTGAATAAAAAAACCCTTAAAGAATAGAAATAATGGGAAGAACAGAAATAATTAATCAAGTCCTGGCCATAGGAATCTGTGGGAAACATTATGGTTACAGAGGCATAAGGAGGATGTCAGGCAAAGCTAACACACTCTTTGTAGGTGAAATTGTGGGAATGGAAGAGTTTCTTAAATTCTCTCTGAAGTTAACCCTGTCCTATGAATCTGTCAGCCCTGATCGCACCCGCTGAACTTGCCATTCACCAGACAATAGTGCCTCTTGTGTCTTATTCTCTCACTGACCATAGGTTTCTAACCAAACTATTTTCCCCTTGTGTGAGACACCCTAGGACATGTTGCATGAGGCTGCCCTTCCTCATTAAAAAATCCATTAAAGGAAAAAAAATAAGAAGCCCAGAAACAGAGCACAGTGTGCATCAGATTTTGTTCTGTTAAAGGTGGCTTTGCCAACCAGTTGGCAAGGGATGAGAGAGTGAACAAATGGTCTGGGACAAGCTGGGTAACTCTTTGGGGAAAATTAGTTTAGATTTATGGCTCACAGTGTTTACAGAATAAATTTCACAATGCTAAAGCATTATATTGACAAGCATAACTGTAAAACAATGAGAAGGAAATACTGCAAAATAGTTGCTTGATCGCAGGACAAGGGTGGCTTTTTCAAAGCAAAAAATAGGAAACAACAATAAAGGAAAAGAAAATTGTTCAGTCAAATTAAGTGTAAAAATTCTCCTTTTAAAGAAAAAGATTACACACACAAAGTAAAAAGGTAAGCAAAAATGTGGGAAGCTAATTCAACATATAGGAAGAATTGATATTCTTGAAGATATAAGTAATAATTTGATTTAATAAGCAAATAACACCCATAATAGAAAAAAGACTAGATAACCACTAACCCTTAAGTCACATCCAGCACGGCCAGAGCCTGGATGTAGCCTCAGTTGTTTCACTGCAAGACCTGTGCCCTTTTCATCCCCAACACGGCCTCCTGACATCATCACACTTTGTGTGTCAACAGCTGAAGTCTCCATGGTTCCTTGCTTGTGTGCAATTGGCCAAAATGGGATCTTAGTAGCTGGAGTTTCCTGTACTCTCTCTCCGGAGTCTGCACTGCTCGGGGCCTCTGTTTATTAGCCTCTGTGTTTCCCATGCCCCCGAGACAGAGCTCTGGATGTGGTGGTGAATTAGTGGGGCTCTGTGCGTATTTGTTCTGCATAGGTTGACCTCTCCCCATGTCCTTGGTGAGCACCGTCCCTTCGGGGCTTCCTGGCCTCAACAGCTGTTGCTTTTTGCACTGCCCACAGCTGACCCACACCTCTCCCTCACCTAGGATGGAGGCCTCTCATTCACTTACAGCAAATTGAAAAGGCCCAGGAGCTCCACTCTCCTTAGTCCTGTCTCTTGACCATTTGTGGCTAAGCAGAGACAGAGCCTCAGTCCCAATCTCCTGCCGGCTTTCCTTTTAGTTCCCCAAGTCCAGATGAGGACTTACTTCCTGTTTTCTTGCCCCGTTTGCTACAGTTCAGCCCAGACTCTTAGGCCATTACTTGCTGGCACTTCACTCAAATATAAAAACATTCAATGTGTTGTCTTTCCTTTTCCCCTGGGGTCAGTGGGTATTTTTCTAGGCTTGTTCTAAAATATGACAAAATTTAAAATGAATTTGTTCTTCCATTTATATTAGTTGTGTGCTGTTTTATCACAAATTTTCAGTGCTTGATTGATTATTTATAGACTTTGGTGAACTTGGATGCTTTCTAGACTCAGATTCAAATTTGAAAACTGAAATGAAATTTAGAGAACCTGTGTTCTTCACTGAGAAGGACAGAAACATCCAGGGGGAGAGAAGTAAAAGTTAAAAGGTAACAGCAAAGAACAAAACTCCTGGACCAGATGGATTCACTGCTGAATTTTATCAGACATTTAGAGAAGACATAATACCCATTCTCCATAAACTTTTCCAAAAAGTAGAAGAGGAGGGAATACTTCCAAACTCATTCTATGAAGTCAGCATCACTCTAATACCAAAACCAGGCAAAGAACCCACCAAACAAGAAAATTACAGAACAATATCCCTGATGAACATACATGCAAAAATACTCAACAAAATCTTAACAAACCGAATCCAAAAATACATCAAGAGGATCATACACCATGATCAACTGGGATTCACCTCAGGGGATGCAAGGATGGTACAGCATTTGAAAATCCATCAACATCATCCACCACATAAACAAAAATAAGGACAAAAACCACATGATCATCTCCATAGATGCTGAAAAAGCATTCGATAAAATTCAACATCCATTCATGATAAAAACTCTCAACAAAATGGGCATAGAGGGCAAGTACCTCAACATAATAAAGGCCATATATGACAAACCCACAGCCAACATCATACTTAACAGTGAGAAACTGAAAGCATTTCCTCTAAGATTGGGAACAAGACAGGGATGCCCACTCTCCCCACTGTTATTCAACATAGTACTGGAGGTCCTAGCCATGGCAATCAGACAAAACAAAGAAATACAAGGCATCCAGATAAGTAAAGAAGAAGTCAAACTGCCCCTGTTTGCAGATGACATGATATTGTACATAAAAAACCCAAAGGACTCCACTCCAAAACTACTAGAACTAATATCTGAATTCAGCAAAGTTGCAGGATACAAAATTAATACACAGAAATCTGTTGCATTCCTATACACTAATGATGAACTAGCAGAAAGATAAATCAGGAAAATAATTCCATTCACAATTGCATCAAAAAGAATAAAATACCTAGGAATAAACCTAACCAAGGAAGTGAAATACCTATACCCTGAAAACTACAAAACACTCAAGAGAAATTAAAGAGGACACTAACAAATGGAAACTCATCCCATGCTCTTGGCTGGGAAGAATTAATATTGTCAAAATGGCCATCCTGACTAAAGCAATCTACCAATTCAATGCAATCACTATCAAAATACCAACAGTATTCTTCAATGAACTGGAACAAATAGTTTTAAAATTCATATGGAACCACAAAAGACCCTGAATAGCCAAAGCAATCCTGAGAAGGAAGAATAAAGCAGGGGAGATTTCGCTTCCCAACTTCAAGCTCTACTACAAAGCCACAGTAATCAAGAGAATTTGGTACTGGCACAAGAACAGAGCCACAGAC